CCATAACTCGCTGCACTGGCTACCAAAAAGTTATGATTCCAAAAAAAAGTTATAGTTCCAAAAAAAAGATCCATAACTTATGATTCTTTTTTCAAAAAATCATAGCCAAAAACTATCAAAAACCTTTCAAAATCAAACGTGTTTGCTAGTTTGGGGCTCTGTAAATCTAGGTTTTTCACTAAAACACATAGCTCAAAACTAGCAAACACAATTGATTTTGAAGGCTTTTTGTTAGATTTAGGCTATGCATCTTTTTGGAAAAAAGAACCATAAGTTATGGTTCTTTTTTTGGAACTATAGTTTTTTTGGAATCATAACTTTTTTGTTTGGAATATTTTGGAATCATAACTTTTTGGTAGCCAGTGCAGCCAGTTATGATTCTTTTTTTGGAACTATAACTTTTTTGGGAATCATAACTTTTTGGTAGCCAGTGCTGCCAGTTATGGTTCTTTTTTGGAACTATAACACCGTTTTGGAATCAAAACTTTTTGGTGGACTGTGTCACCAGTTATGATTTTTTTGGGGGGAAACTATAGCATGTTTAAGAATCATAACTTTTGGGTGGGCACTGTCCGCAGTTATGATTCCTTTGTGTGGAAAGCAAGGGCGATTGACAGAATCTTGACTAGACATAAATCTATGGATGTTCGTCAGATTCACACACTTGATGTTTGGATATTGGTTGGCTCGGCGCGGTTGGCATCCCTTTTTATATTGAACCTGGTGGCAGCATGACATGTGCGTTCACACACATAATGTGTGTGTGTGTTTGTTTGTGTGTTTTTGTGTTTATCTTAAAACTTAAACCTGTCGCATACATTCTTAATTTTGGCCTACTTGTCAAACTGAGATTGGCCGTTAATAAAGTGGAACCATATGGAAGCTCTGGAAGCACCATGCACCCAGCGACATAAAACCAAGACACGAGGATTGCACTGAAGCAGGAATTGGGATTGATTATGGTTTTTGTTTTAAGTTCAACCATCTTAAAAGTTATGATTCTTTTTTGAACTGAACCGCCTTGACTTGCGAAAGACATCCGCGACACTCTGGTTGTTTCCGCACTGTTGGACCGAACGTTCAGGCGCCACCGTTGCCCGAAGAAGCGCCTCCTCCGCTGCCCCCCGACGCGCCGCCCTGAGAGCGCCCGCTCCGTCGCGAGAAGAAACGGCGCCGGAGCGACAGGGACGGGGAAGGTCAGGGGTGACCCGAAAAATTCAGCAGGGCGCCCTTCTTCGCTGTGAAAGGTATCGAAAAAAAACGCCTGTGATGTTCCGGCAGGTTGAAGGTTCAGCCAATGGTGGTGGACATGAGAACTGCAAAAAACCCGAAGAAGGAACTGAGAAACGGAACGGTGGGCCCCGTGGGCTTCAACGAGGGGTCTTGTCCCATGTCCTTTTTTTCTCCCAGTGTGGTTCACCTGGAGGCCATCGCTAGTAGGTTGGAGGATCGGAACCACCTCAGGCTTTGGCATGATTGTTCCTGCTCCCCAGAGTCGACCCGACCATTGGCTCGCAAGCAAGAAAGACATTGGTAATGACCCAGACGTTCGAGTACTGCCATATGCATCGAGACATATCGAGACTCTAAACCTACAGCCTGTGGCAGTGGTTTAGCCAGTGGCAACGAGCTGCGATGAGCAAGAGAGCTGATTGTGTTCCCATGGCAAAAGCTGGGGAGTCATCCAAAGGCGCTCAGAACCGCAGGGATGGGGTCGGGTGGGGTTGGAAGCGAAAGCCGAAGCCGTTCACAATTTGGCGGAAGATCAGGAGTCTCCGACCTAGAAGCAATGGCCTCCAAACTACCCACGGCCCAACTTGGTGCTCAAGGAGTGATTCGCCCAATTTCCTTGTTGAGCGAATTCGCCCCGAACGTTGGACACGTGGGTGTTTCACGCGAGAAACACCGCCGCGCGCGGGTTGGCCACCAGGCGGCAAGGCCGGCAAGGGCGGCAAGAGTGCAGTGCGTTGGCCACAGGAAGAGCCCCTTCACGAGACCCAGAGTCAGGCGGGTCTTTCGCAGTTTTTCTCCGTCGGCGGGAGGCGGGAGTCCTGGGGAGAGGGGAGCCAAAATCGAGGTCACCTTCTGCATGTGTTGTAAGGAGGTGTTGACTGGAAAGATCACCACGAATCCGCACGATAATGATTTATATACCTGCTTAACTCCCTCAGACTCCAACCCTCCAAAGAAGCAGTCACACATTGTTAAAGGCACAACAATCATGCCCTCAATTTGAACGTCCAGAGAACGTCAGTCCCAAGAGTCTCACCGAGTGTGCCGTGCAGAACATGGCACGCCATGTGTGACCAAGCACAAACCGAGTGACCAGCTGCCAGGGGTCTCTTCCGCAACAGGTCGGAGTTGAACATGCACCACTAGTAATAACAAGTGCATCGCTAGTAGTAACAAGTGCCTTACTAGTAACAAGAAGCTATTAGAAACAAGTGCCTTACTAGTAGTAACAAGTGCCTTACTAGAACAAGACGGAAGATATCAGATATTACTAGTAACAAGTGCATCGCTTCTAGTAACAAGTGCCTTACTAGTAGTAACAAGAAGCTACTAGTTGTTGGGATGCGTTGATCCCGTCCTAGGTCAGCCATGAATCGTAAACATATGACTCCCACCCCTCCCACCTGGTCGCTGAAATGGACAGATCACAGTGATCACAGACACCTCTTCTTGAATTGGTCGTTTGTGTTGGACTGATGTTTCTTTCCTGTGTGCCACAAAAGCCCCTTTTCAAACATGCCAGTCTACCGATTTGTGAGGTTTCCTGTCCTTTAGGTCCCGTCATGTTGACATCAAATCGTGCGACGCTCCAAACAGCGCCCGACCGGTTCCTCCAAACTGATCTGGATTCAGGAAAGACGGAGGCCTTGCGTCGGTCCGCTTCAGGATTCCACTGGCAGCTTCTTTGATGCGGTCATCATCTCAACGGATGGCGAGATAGGAGTCAGCCAGGGATGGTGAGACACCCACACCATGGAAAAAGGATGAAAAAAGGTATCCCTTGAAGATGGACACCTGCACTTCAAGTTCATCATGCGTAGAAGGGGGGATTCCTACCAGCTTCCAGACCTGCAAGCCTGTTGGTGCATCAAGAACAGATGGCAAGTAACCTGCTGAATCCTCCACCCTCATCAGGATCCCCCAGCAATTTCCTTCTTGCGCCACGGATGTGAACCCATCGCTGAACGTCTCGCCGATGTGACGAGTGCGTCCCGGGACGCGTCGAGACACCCATCCCAATAGCGGCCTCCAACCTAAGAGCAAACTACAGACCTTTCTTCCCACTATTAGTAGCTTGTTACAAAGGCACCTTGTTAATTACTAGCAGTAGCTTCTAGCCCTAACCTACCTGAGGTGGTGAGTTTCGCGAAGAGCTCCGGAGCGGCGGACGTATGGAACGAATGGTTCCAGTACACCCAGAAGTGCCCGTGTCCTGCGAAAGGGATGAAATCTGCGAAAAGAGACATCGGTTGCAGCCGTGGTTTGGGTTCTAAACCCAAACGCTCCGTTCACAGACCGACCGGGACCTTAGGAGGGTCCATGAGCAGGTCTTTGTTTGGCGGAAGTGCTGAATGTGTTTTCTCAACCTTGACCAGACTGGAGCGCACTGAAGCCTTTGGTGATCAATAGCCAAGACCCAGACAACGCAGACGGTGTTTCGTTTACCAAGCGTGTCGTTGGATTGTTCATTGTTGTTCACTTGCTGATGTGTTTCCAGAATGTCAATGTGGAAGAAGGTTGATTCGCGGTCCGAACCAGATTGGCCTACAATTTGTTGACACCATTGAGCCTTGGAGCTTGTGGACCAAAGCAAGTGGGCCAAGGAATGGATGTGATGATGATGATGATGGTGGTGTGTGTGTGTGTGTGTCAAACCCCGTGTCTAGGGGCTCTATCTTACCTACTTCTTCTCTGCCGCTTGAATTCAGACTGCACCATTTCCCAGCAGGGGGGGCAGTGAGTCTCTCACCATCCACTGCCCAACGAAGACGGTGGATTGAGACTGTGATATTCCTGAGGGACGCCTCAGGAACATACCTGCACTGACTGTTTAAACATATCGTAAAGGGCCAATGAGTGCTGTTAAAACATTCAGTTGAGCGGACCCATCACTTCATGCCGTTGAATCAAGTCAAGTGCTAAGTATTCATTGGCTAATGCAGTAACGTAAAGTGCTTCTGCTCACCGTGCAACTCTGAAACACAGATCCGCGGAGCACTCATCTTAAGTGTGTGTTTTTCCGAACATGTGGTAGGGTGTTTTTCTTGACGAAAAGGCCATGGATAGGAGTACAGGGCGCAAAGAACAGTTCTAAAAACTTCCAGAGACGAAGACGAACACGCTAGGAGCGAGGACGCTACTAGTAGTTCCTGGCCTTACTACTAGGAGCAAGAAGCTACTAGTAGCCCCCAGAATCGCTACTAGGAGCAAGCTTGTATTGGTGTTGGTTTTCTTCGGGCACCACGCAGTCTTAAAAGACCGGGCGGAAAAGGAGGTTCGCCGACGCGGTTGCAGGTATTGCCGCTGCGCAGGATGAGTGCAACAACCATCGCGGCCTTTGAAAAACTGGACATCCGGTGAACGCTAGTGAAGCCAGACCTGAAGCCGAAACCACCAGGGGCAAACGGGCGTCGAAATCCCACAATGGGCTGTAGTAGGTTGGAGGCCATTGCTGTTAGAAACTTTTTAGTAATTAGCGATGCCCTTTGTTACTGGTAGTTTTTTGCTCCTAGTAGTAAGGCCAGGAGCTACTAGTAACGCCCTTGCTCCTAGAGAGAAGATAACTTTGCTATTGGGTTGTTTGAGTATTTGTTGAACTTCAGGTCTTGGTGTTTGTGCGGAATCGAGCGTGGCACAGGCAAGCCGCTTTGGATTCGGCAAGGCGGAACCCGCACATAAATCATCGACCAGATTTTTACCCTTTAAGACATGTTTTTGTTGCAAGAAGCGGCCTCTTTCTACTGGTAAGGCATAGGCATAGTTCCATTGAAGCAAGGGGCTGCAAATCAAGGGCTGTGTGATGCAAATCACTTTTGATTTGCGGCCCAAGAGGACATGCGCAATAACCCTTTGACGGCCTCTGACGGGTCTCCAGCCGTGTTCAAAGACGATTCGTCGATCGTCCCCTTCGCCGGGTGAGATCGGACCTGTGCGTTAAATGGTTGTTATATAATAAGAGATAAACCGTCATAAACCATATAAAAAACTAATGTTGTTTCATGTTGTGTCTATGTTCCTTCGTGTTACTTAATTAGTTTAACTTGATGTTTAAATGATAAGGGGCCATTTGATGAGAGGCTACTGACGATAGCGCTCGCGGAATCGCGTCGGCCCATGGCAACTGGAGACCAGACCAGGACCGACGCGTCGGGAGTGGGTCAAAACCGCAGATCTCTGATAAGATGTGAACGTGCAGCCGAAGCACTTTTTTTGCGAGTTTGTTGCTTATGGCCCACCGCCCAGTAATTTAAGAAGTTGAGCTCAGTAATTTAAGTAGTTGAGCGCTTGAGCCTTTCAGCTCTTCGCTCCAATTTCGGTTTCAAGCGCCCTGCCTTTTGGAGCAACCTCTTGGACCTGTCGTTGGCAGTGCTCTCGTGACCGGCCTGGACATTCGAGGTGATGTTTATGGTCAAAATCTGGTGAATTTCATTTGAAGACTGCAGACATGCAAATTGAAATAGCTCAAAATCGGAACACAAATTGCACTTGGTGGTCCGAGTGGGCTCAGCACTACAGTTCCCACCATGTGCTGGCGAATCCCACGAGCCCGAGTGGTCCGCATACACACGAGGACTTTGCCTCCAGGAAAACAAGGGATGCAGCAGCGACGACATGAACGTGTGTGTGTATTCAGAGGTTGCCTGCATTCAACCTACTGTAATAGCAATGGCCTACCTGGTCTACCTAAAAGCGATGGCCTCCAACCTACAAACCATGACCTCCAACATTTTAGGGATGGCCTCTAATACATATTTATAGATTTATATATTGTGTTTTATTGATTTAATGTGATTTAACATGTAGAATGTATACGTATGTTATATATATATGTATATATAATATATTGGTTTCTTTTTCTTTTAAGTGCATACAGATGTTGCCTCGCAAATCAAGGTGTTCTTTTTTAAATGTGTGCCGCCTTTTGGTTCATCGACACCCCAAATCACTTCGCCATGGGCGCCCTGGCGCCCGGCGGACCCTCCCAGAAAGCACGACGCTTCAAGACCGGGAGGGATGGGGGCAGGCTTGGTAGGCCGCTATAGGAAGAAGCTAGTTGAAAAGCTCTATTAATATATAGGTACTAAAGACGCTCCTTTCGGAAGGACGCAGGATAGCTCACGCACTATTCATTTGGCTCCTAGATGTTTAGGAAAAGAAGAGAGTTCACTTTCATTCAGGTGTTGTTCATCTTCGGATGCAGCCATCTCATAGGGCGTCCATGACACTCAGTGGATCATTTGGAACCAGAATATGCAGGTCACAGATCAGCAACTGACACGGAGTGTTCACAAAAACGTTTTTGAATTTGTGACCAGATAACATCACATATTGGGTCACCAGCGAAAGCACACCAATTGTCAGAATAGTTTTGAAAGAAACACATAAGAAGCTAGTTACTAGGGGCTCCTGGCCTCACTACTAGGAGCAAGGACGCTACTAGGGGCTCCTGGCATCGCTACGAACGGAGCAAGGACGCTCCTAGGAGCAAAGGGCATCGCTACGAACAGAGCATTCTTACTGCTTTGCCTCTTTCCATGGCACGAAGGCACTGCAGGCACCACTGGTCATGGACCCCTGCGAGATCGACTGGGAGGTACCAGAGCTGAGCTTCCGGAACGCCACGCGAGCGCCTTGGAGCGGCCAAACGGACGGTCCAACCACCCGATTTTACTCCAACCACGCTCGAGTTTGTTCACCTTTGGAGGGCAGTTGTTCACTCTACCGGCTGGGTTTCATACCGTGTTTTAGACTGGTATCCAGCTTTGTGTTTTTTCATGTTTGCAGCATGCATGTGTTGTACAGTGTTTGTGGTGCACCCTCTATCTAGCACCCCACTACATGGAAAGGCTGTGAGGGGTAGGAGTGAGACCTCAAGTCGTTGAGTTTGGCGGAGCTCTCCACATCATTAAAGGGCTCACTGCACAAGTGCACAGTGTTACAATTCAAGTCCTCATGTCAAAAGAATCAGATCGTAGTCGTTGTCACAACGGGCGCTGTGAAAACCACGGGGTCATTGTCACAATGGGCGCACATCCTCTTCCATATGGGTCGAGGCCCAGTTCAGGACATCCCTGACCTAATCGGCAGCTTTCGACCTGACCGATGTGAGCTTTCGAACTTTCATCCTCAGGGGTTCTTGCTTTGTGACGAACATGTTGCTCCAATTTGAGTTTGGAACATCAAAGATCATCAAAGGCAAAGCCGGCAAGGCACTCTTGGGTGACAGACAAAAAGAAAAGTGGCACAGGAAAGAGGATAGGGTATGAATGTGTTTGATGGGGTTTGTAACTGGATAGAATATACATTATGTGTATTCGTGTACCTGGATCTTCAAACGGCACAATTTTTGCCGGATGTGTTTTCAGTGAAAAGTCACCGCATTAAAAATGCTAGGGGTTTCAAACATATGCTCAACATCCATCATGGACGGGAAAAGATGCCATAACGGCAAGTTTCTTGAAAAGGCAGCTAATTTTAACTTGTGCCAGATATATTCGTTTCTCGAGAGTCTCGTCGCTCTTGCCTTAGGGGTTCCTCTACCAAGCGGAGGCTTCAAATCTGCCAATCCCTTTGGAGCTTCCCCTTCAAGTTCTTGCGGCGTTTGCAGGTGACGGAGCGGCACCCAGATAGGCTGAGAACACCCACTTAGAGAGAGAGAGTCTCAAGAGCACATAATCAGAAGCTGAATCAACGAGCACTTTATTGACTTCACCTGCCGGCCGCTGTGTTTTGATCCTCCTGTGTCACCGACTGACATCTCAGACTGGGTAGTTGCGAGATCTTTTACTGAGTTGGTTGGAGTCGATGGCATTCCATGGCATTCCTGGTTTACATGTTTTTAGCACCTCACCTAACTCCTGGTCTCCTCGTTTCTCAATCGAGTCTCATCGTTTCGGATCTCGCAACAGAGGGTCTTGATCCGTGCCTCCACTTGAAACCTTTTTTGTTTTTCCCTCCAACCTAAAGCGATTGCCTCCAACCTAGAAGCGATGGCCTCCAACCAAGAAGCGATGGCCTCAGATGAACTGTAACGTCAGAGAAAGTGGTGTCCTTCATTCGTCGACGGAGTTCTCTCCATGACGTTTCCCTCCTTGTCTTGCTTTACAGGACTTTTTGGACTCAGAGTTTGGCGTCCAAAAAGCATTGAACGACGAACGATGATGCATAACGATGACTCACCATGGAACGCCCCTGTAGCCGTACGGAAAGGTGATCTGGTCGAAGATGAAATGGACAAAATGAAAAGAAGAAGGTGGACTTGGGCCCAGTATGGCCCCTTCTGTTTTCTGTTCGCTCTTTTCTTATTTCCTTTGCTTGTTTGTTTTTTTTCTTTGAACCTTTATAGACATGTGTTTTTGTTTTCCTTTTTTGTCGAATTGTCTCTTCGTCTACCTAGTGAACCCAAAAAACAGTAGACTTGGGCCCTGTTAATTAGGCCCGCTTTGAAGATCTTAAAGGGCTTTCCCCCTCGTACATCCAGACTCGAACACGTTGTGCGTTCACATAATTTATCTTGTGTTTCGAACATGAGCAACGTGATCCCACGTCCTCGAAAGTGGATGACAACGTCTGTGTCACAGCGAAGCTATATATATATACTAAGGCTTAGCCACTACAGATACATTTGCAGTCACTTTACGTTTCCAAGCCCTCATCCCCAAACCCGACGGAAACGTGTGGGAATCATGCGGGAACTGTGTTGGAACCATGCGGTGCGTTCAGGTTTAAATATGCACCTGGTGGTCCTGGCCGAAGAATTGGCTGTAGCCTGCCCAACTGCCCACAGCCTTGACACTTGGAAGTGGAAAAGGAGGTGGAGAACGGAGTTCGATTGTTCCATTTGGAAACAACGTCGAAATCGAGCGTTGAGGGACCCAGCGTACATGATTCGTCAGGCTTTTTACAGTACAAGTACACTAAGAGTATACTTTTCTTGCCAGGATCACAGGCCTTGCGGCTTGGAGCTCCTAGAGTTGTGGAAAAAAACTATACAACTATAAAACCAGCACCACCCAAAGGGTTGTATTTGGATGGAAAATACATTTTCAGGTGGTCTGTAAACCATTCATTGGGTGGTGCTGGAACAGGCAAATTCTTCGCAACTTGTTTGCCACTCAAAGGAGTAATTCTTCCGACTCGCTTCGCCGAGACGCGTCGCCGACGGGAATCAGTTCGTCTTAGACGCAGCATCTGTCGGCCGCTTTCAGCGGGACCGATCCCAACGGAGGGGCCTGCTGTCATACACCGCTTCCGTGCGCTTTTGCGGTACTCGAACTCGAACATGTTCTTCAAAGGCTTTGTGTTAGATCGCCAAGAGCTGTTGGGCAAGCCAAAAGCTGTTCAATGCGACATTCTGCACACGAGTAGGCACATCAGCATAATGGAGGCCATCGGTAGTAATTAGGTTGGAGGCATAGCTTCTAGGCTTGAGGCCACCGCTGTAAGTTTGGAAGCCATCGCTTCTAGGTTAGAGGCGATCGCTTTGAGGTTGGAGGCCATCGCTATTAGAAACAAAGAGGAACAACATGAATGATCTAATTTAGTTTGCTCTTAAGTGGGAGGCCATCGAACAACGGTGTTGGCCTCTCGAGAAACACAAAAAGCGATTGTGGCTTGGCCGAAAAGAACGCGCGACCACTCGCAGGCGATGCAAAAATGATGTGCAAACATGTGAAAAGCAACTGTGCTGCTTGGATGCTACAAGCCTGTCGTACAAATATGCTAAGGTTCGAAGACTCTAAGACCTACATCTCTTGGCGCTTCTGAGTCGTGATTCTGGTTCGAGCTGTAAAGGAAACCCAGATTGAGCTGGGACGCTGTCTATGTGGTACAGGATGATATCTAACAAAAGCAGTTCCCTGCGCAGCTCGAAGCTATCCCTCCTCATGAATGCATGTATCAAAATGATTCAAAATGAAAAACACAAACGACTGGCGATGGCCTCCAACCTAGAAGCGATGGGCTCGTTCTCCAGGCTTGCTCCCCATGGATCACTCTCGGACTTCGCCGCTGTGCTTCGCTCCCGATTCCAAGGAGCGCTTTGACTTCATTTGCCAGCAAGTTCGAGGTTCTATCCGCAGCTGGGCCATGTTCGACTCCAAAATGGTGTGCTGCGGAGGTCTATGGGTCAAACATGGTCAAACACATGCTCAAAGCAGTCATGTTGGTGGTAACAGCAGGAGAGTTGCTGGGGTATTCAGAGACGTCTTCACGGCTTTTGGGCGCGTTCGGCCCAAGAATTTTCAGATCCCAAGGAATTCGACCTCCCCATTTGTGGGAGTGACGTTTTTTTGAGAATCATAGAATCGTTTGGGTCGGGCGAAACATCGAAACGTCGAAACTGCGCTCGCTTTCGACCACTTTCGACCGCTTTCGACCCGACGCATCACCAACTGGTCTCGGATAAGGCAGAGACCAGTGCAGCTAAAAACTTTGAAAAAGGAAAGACAAAGGTAGTTCGGTTTGCTTCATGCGGGAATCTTGGCAAACCGGGACCGCAGTAAATGATTTTGCAACCAACCACTGATCAAGCTACTAGGAACAAAGGGCAAGGCTACTAGGAGCAAGGACGCTACTAGGGGCTCCTGGCCTTACTACTAGGAGCAAGAAGCTACGGGATCTCTTACGATCTCGTCACGAAGCCGATTCAAGCTCAGGCGATCTCGTCACGAAGTTCCCCTTGCGTTTGCCTCGTGCAGAAGGGCTTCTTCAAGAAGCAGTGGAGACTCCCAGTCTTGAGTCCCAGTGAAGGCTCCCCTCCAACCTACTAGCGATGGCCTCCAACCCAAAAGCGATGCCATCAAACTACAGGCAAAAATGACGAGGTCCTCTCTTGTTGATCTAGATTGTGGATTTCAACTTGGGGAAAGCATCTGTGGAAAGTCGTCTCTTGTCTTCTTTCCGCAAGCTGAATGTAGGAGTTTGTCGCACTTGTTACTTAGTTATACTTTTTCTTGAGCATGTTGCAAATGCAGCGTTCACATGCGAAGTTGAGGATATCTCACAGTGACCTAGATGATTCACATGTTGCGTTTAGCTTGGGAAGAGGAATTTGTGTAGCCATTTCTAGTCAAGTCAGCTCTCGGGTGTGCCCTTGCTTCCCTTGGAGATGTCCAAGTCAAGTGTGATGAAGGCAATGAAAGCCATGCAATGAAGGCAATCGAACATGTTTGATTCAGATGTTGTTCAACCATGTTTGTAGAGGCGATGGCCTCCAACCTAAAAGCGAGGGCCTCGAACCTAGAAGCTTTCTGCCGTTATGAAAGGAAAATCCCTTATCCAAAGAATTCCAAAGGGCCGCATTGATATGCCGAACCATGTTCGTAGTACTCACCCAACAATTCACACAGTACTAATCACTAGTACCGTTGCTAGTGCTGACATGACTATAACTACTACAGACAATTCTAACCTAAGTATAAGGGCACTGGACTTCGACGACTACGACTCTAACAAAATTACGAAAGGCGTGTGTCCAACTTATTCTCGTGGTTTTCCCTAAGGCGTCAGTGGTTCCTCACCAAGCCATCCATGCAGAATACAGGAAAGGCTATACGGCTATACCGAATCGATGAAGACAAGCTTTGAGCGAATGAATGCCAAACGGATCGTTATTAGGTTGGAGACAAGCGCTAGTGGGTTGGAGGCCATCACTACTAGGCTGGAGGCTATCGCCAGTAGGGTGGAGGCCATTGCTATTACGGTGGAGGAAATCGGTAGTGGGGTGGAGGCCATCGCTATTAGGGTGGAGGCAATCGGTAGTAGGTCGGTAGTATGGTGGAGGCCATGGCTATTAGGGTGGAGGCAATCGCTAGTAGGGTGGAGGCAATCGGTAGTAGGGTGGAGGCCATCGCCATTAGGGTGGAGGCAATCGGTAGTAGGGTGGTGGCGATTGCTATTACCTTGGTCCATTGCTCTGAGGAACTGCATGAATATTGGCCTTGAGATTCTGCATCACTTGCTTGGGGGCCTATGTATGCAGCTGCGACTCGGTGTTTCTAATAGCTTTGGCCTCCAACCCAAAAACGATGGGTTCCAACCTAGTAGCTTTGGCCTCCATTAAAATAGCGATGTTTCCTTGAAAGTGGTTTCTCAGAAACTCCGCACTTGGTCTTTGGGAAGACCTTCACCATCGACTTGATCTTCAGAATAGTTTCGGGAGGACTAACTGACACGCAAACCCAAATTCCCTACGAGCAATTTCGATCAAATTTTCTACATTATATTGCCTTTTTTTGCAGTTAGTCAAAGTGCTGTAAAGCGATGAGGAAGATTAATAACGTCAAGAATGGTGTAGGGAAAGAGGGGTTTTACACAACCTCAATTGGTGTAGCTAAAGTTTTCTCGAGCCCCTAAGACTCTGAGTGGTACATATAGAAAATGATCGACATAGCTGGGTTTGGTTTACGGCCGCAACAGATCTTGAGAGATTTGTTCTTCGCCTTCATCTAAGTCCATCTCCAAACCAATGTCGTGAATCATTGTGGTGCTACAAGCTCTACCAGCGCTTGACCAAAGCAACAGCAGAAGCTTGGTGCTTGATCCCGCGGATGATGGCGGTCCGGGAGGACAACTGGGGGAACAACCAACAGTCAAATCTTTGGCGAATGGAAATGCATCTCTTAGTGCATCCCTTCTATTTTGATCAGCATCGTTGCCAATTACAGAGCCGCCTCAGCACAAACTGCTAAGTTGTGTCTTTGGGAACCGCAGGCACCACCATGAAAAGTTGTGGCTGTGTGCAGTTTGTTATTGCTGGGTTGATGTGTTGTTTAAACATTTTCCAACCATTCTTTTGTACAAGATGCTATAGCCGTGTCTCCTTCGCATTTCTGGAACCTGCTGGGTGTTGATTTGCTCTTCCTATTCCAATGTTCTGGAAGCAGACTCCTATTTTGAGACACCCACATGCTGAAGCTTGAGTAGATCTTCCAAAAGTAGAGTCGAAGGCATGACAAAACTAGACGACCAAAACCAATGACCGGATGACTTCACCTGGGTCTCCAAGGATCCCTGCCAGGATGAGACTTTTTTTGTGACAACCGACTAAAGCGATGGCCTCCAACCTAAAAACGATGGCCTCCAGACCAATAGCAATTGCCTCCAACACTACGGAATGGGAGAGAAGATGGAGAGAAGATCAAGTTGAGAGGAGTCATAGCCAGAGGCGAGCAAGGGCCAGCGGCGCATCAGCAGCGCATAAGCAGTGCATTTGCGGCGCACGCGGCTCGGGATAGAATGCAGAAGCTTGCTTTGCAGGCCGGCTGGAATTGTGAGGAAGAGAACGCGTTTGCGACTGCACCTCTCAACGCCATCCTGTTCGCAAGCATGCATTTCCAGCAAGACCGTTCTGCTTGGCGAGCATGCTCCTTCGGCGAAATGGCACATGCCTCTCTCTTCCAAGCCAAGCACGTCCAACTGCAGCGCTCCTTTTTCCTCCAACTGCGGCGCCTGGGGAAGTCACGTGACGCATCAACCCCCACGCAAAAGCCATGCTTCACAGAAGCAGGTGGTCAGGTGTGGTCAGGCACTCAGCGAGTTTGGACCTGCCCACCAGTTACCACCAGCCACCTGACTGAGGAAGTGGCTGTCTCTTCTCACTTGGCAGCTTGCTTGCAGTTGGCACGCTGCGCAGGTGTCGTGCTACGTGTAGAGAGAAGTGTTTGAAGATATTTGAGCCGCGTGGCTTCCCTGATGCTAAGCTTACAACAGCAAATTGGAGAAAGTTAGATTACTTCCGTTAGCTTCGGTTCGAAGATGAGAGTTTGGGGGTCTTCGTGTCAAGCCTGTTAAGCAGGCGAAGACGCGTCGGTCGGAAAATCCATCTCACTGAAGTTCTTTGAGGTACAAGACCAATTGGAAGCATCTGTCCTGTGGCAATTCGATGCTCCCAAAGCACCAGCGACGCTTCATCACCATAGCCCTCCACTGCCGCAGTTTCCATCCAATGCAGAAGGCCTGAGCCTTTTGTTTGATGTCCTCAAGATAGGTCGTGTTAGGTCTCAGCAGACGCACGTATGTACCAGCAGGATTTGGTCATATTTCTCTTCAGTGGGGAGAGAACATGAGAGCTTGAAAACCGGTCGAAAACAAAATAGAAAAGCTGAAACCAACCACCTTCAGTATCCTTCAGTGTTGGACCTGGTTCATGCACACAAGACAAGCGCTGCTTGCACAGAACGAAGTGCACAGGTGAAGTCCGGACCCAGGATGATTTGAGGATAAAGACCCTTAGCGGCCTGGTCTTCAGGGCTGAAGGGTTGGCTATTCGGTTCGGGGAGCAGGATGGAGGGGGGGAAGAGAATGCCAAAGCCGCGACAACAATGGGCAAAGCGTCCTTGCCATTTCCACCGAGTTCATAGTTGCCATATGTTGTGTCTTGGTTGGTATGATAATGACGGTGGGCCTGGTGGGTCGTTGTCCGTATGGACCACCCTTGGGCCCAACTGCCCACATCACATTGACACAATTTGACACATCTTGGACTGCCTGCACATGATGTGTCACCCAACTGTGAAAGGTTTGGGATGAGCTCGCGTCCCCACTCACGGCTTTCGGTGTCCTTGCGAATGAAAGAAGGCAGGTTTGGTGTGAGGCAAAAAAAAACCATCAATGTGAAGCAATCGGCCAAATTGCTTGGCGGCCGAAGCTCCAAGCCGGGCAGATATTTGTATTGCAACCTTGTAAGCCTGAGGTCTTGCACTTAATGATCCTCTGTCAAGATAGTAGCAAATAAGCATAGCTCCAAAGATCTACGCCTTCGCAGCAAACAACTCCAAATAGAAACAAATCATATCATATCCGTCTATAGCGTATCCTTTGTCAATCTTCCAAGTTCCGACTCGCGAGGTGCCGTCGTTAGATGTGCCGTTTGAGGTGCGTTGCTGCGAGCGATGGGGCCCCAAGATCTCCACATGGCGGGGCATCCAGTTGGGGGCTTGCCGGTCGGTTCACGAGGCGGTGGCCTCTTAAACAAGGTATAGGAAAATATGTTGGAAGATGTTGGAACCTATATTGAACTTGAATTCTACGTGTTCTGCTCCAGGGAGTCCGAAGAAGGCATTGCGAAGTCTACTGATGTTTTTGCTTAGTGACAATCCCACGACCTACCAGCCTCGTGCCCGTACGGTTGCTTCCGGTGACGAGAAGACCACACATGCAAAGGCGTCCAGTCTCTTTTTTCAATGGCGAAAACCATGTGGTGTAATGGCAGGTCTGAACATGCATCTTGATCTGATCTACGGCCGTTGATGATCGAATCAACGGCCATGGGTTTCCTATGGTTTCTTCAAGACCGATTAGGTCCAAATATGGCCTTTGTGTCAGAGACGATAGGAATCGAGCTGTCACTCCGAGCAGTTTGCAGGTTGAGGTGGGAACGCACCTGGGCCATGTGGCTGACGGCTTGCTCTCACGCTTTCCACGGTTGCATTACGTGGGCACCCCGGCAGACACGGTGGACCCGCAGGGTGAGATCGTTTGCATGGAGCCCCACAAGACTGGGGCAAGAAAGGCTCCAGTTGAGGCAGAACTGTCTTGGGTCTCTAGCTAGGTGACTTCAAGAAGGTTTCTACAGTTGTGCTCAATTTAAAGTGCGGAGAGAATTTGTTGCAGCATCTTCGATTCAGCCGTTTTGGCGTGTGTTGCCACTCATTGAGGCATTGATCCATATCCTGGAGAGTATGATGGAAGGCGCTTGCCACCAAAAAGAGGAGGGAATCTTATTTTGTCCTTTTGCTTTTGCTAGAAGAAGTGTAAAAAACAGACTAAGATTCACTTGGCCCGTGCACAAGAGTGGGTCACGGGTCGAGGAAGAGAATGGAGCGATTTTCGATGTGCCGATGTTGCATCCGAGTTCTTGAAGTAGGAAACATCGAGCACTCATACGATAAAGAGGAAACATGGTCAGAAACAATATATGAAAACAATTAAATCGTTTAACCTCGGAAAGTGGACATGTATCGAAACGCGCACCAAACCAGCAGATCGGCTCCTGCTGCCTTTGGAAGAAAACCTTCACATATCTTCACATCTTTTCAGCATCCAAAGCATACTTTTGACCATATTCCGTATGCAATGGTACAACTGCCCCTTCTTTCTGGTGGTGATTCTTCTGTTGGCCCTCCAGTCCGTCAAGACCAAACTCCAGTGGAGGGGGCGAGATGGTTTCTTGTTCATTTTGCGAAGCCTCTCTCGCCGTTCCTATTCGGTTGGAGGACATCACTAGTAGGTTAGAGCCATTGAGTAAGCCATCGCTATTAGGTTGGAGGTCATTATATAACTATATATTCTAATTAAGTTCAATTCTTGTTACTAGAAGCGATGCACTTGTTCCTAGTAGCGTCCTTTGCTCCTATTGGAGGCCATTGTGATTCCAGGCCCATCCTCTTGGGCTCCGGTGACCTTGGAGACAGCGCCAACTTCAATCGGACCCGCACGAGGCCGAGGGGATGCGGAGTAGCGGACCCACGTGACCTCGTGACCGGACCCACATGGGACCTGAGGGAGAGTCGAACCATCCCAAATGTGGAGATTGCCAGTCTGAAAGTCTAACAGTTAGGCAAAAGTGTTAAGGACTGCATTAAAAAAAAAAACAGTGACCATGTTGTTCTTCTGAAGGATTTCGGGGGAGAAACATCGAAGCTTGAGACACCTTGAGACCCTCATCCCACCGTCGACTTACCATCCGGTGCCACCACGGGACGGGTGGACGCGCCCAGGCTCTCGCGCTTTGGCTCCAGGGCGCAGCTTTGCCGTTGCACCTCCGGCACCGTGGCGTCGAGCCACTGGAGCAGCAGCGGGACGCGAGCAGCGGGACACAGCGATCGAGTAGCATAGCCGGTGTTTTTCAAACGAAAAATAAGAGTCCCGTGGTCGTGCCTGTGGGCACTCTTGCAAGCAGCAGGACATTGAGGGTACTCAATGAAAACAGACCAGGTGTGTTTTTGATGGCTGTAAGATGCAGTCAATACCACTACCCATAATAAGAGGACTGCACATAATTGTCCAATGTGTTCCATAAATCCAAGAGGAAGAGTTAAGTGGTTGAAATTCTGCAAAAGGAGTGAGAACGTACAAGGATCAGTTTTTGGATTCCAGAGAGCTCTTGATCGTTTTTATGAACTTGATTCCCTTTGACAGCCTCGGCTGGTTGAGGTCTTGAACCTTCAGCCTTGACGGAGTTAGATCTGGCGACTCGGATGAGGGAGCATGGTTTGTTCTGCCATCTTGCTCTTCCTTGAACATTTTGTCGTTTTGGATTGTTCATTGCGGGATCATTTAGGTCGGAGGCCATCGCTAGTAGGCCATTTTCCAGTCTAGGTTTTCATTGATGGTGCGCACGACTTCGAGTCAGTGGCCTGGCTGGATGGGACTGGTAGCCAGGAAGGACTTCCAATTCTGGAAGTCTGGAAATCCACAGGGAACGAGAAAAGTGATTGCTGCTTTGACGTCTCAAACTGGTTGCTATTGATTCCGACTAGCCCAGAAACACGACATGGTTGCTGCAAGATATGTTGGGGTGCGAAACAAATTCAGGTGGCAAGAAGATCCCAAATTGGTGCTGCACCGGATCGGATGCCGATCGGCGCTGAACGTATTGAACCCCACTGAACGTATTGAACCACCCCAAGATGTGTGGATTTCCAAGTATCTCCAACACCCTTTTCAAGTGATCGATTTGAGGTGGACATGGACTTGAAGAAGTGGATTCCTCAAGTGAAACCTGGAGCCGTTGTGGCTGGGCACGATTACCGCTCCTGAGCCGCGGTTGGGAAATTGGAAGTTCTTTTGGAGAAACTGCCAAAGATGGAAGGGCCAAGAGTATCCATGTCAAGCTTGAGGAAAAAAGGCGCGATTTACCTGGAGAGATTCACCCCAGGCCCCAGGTCCAGTTTTTTCCCAAGTCTTGCTTCACAAGTTCCTTCCCTTCGGTTTCTTCAGCGATGTTTTCGATCGAAAAAATGACTCAGGATTGGGTGAGGCAGAGCATGTCGTGAAAGCCGTTCACAAGCGACTGAGTCAGCAGCTTTCGCGCATCGCTTGCTCATGTTCGCTCACGTTCCTCGCTTTTGACAAGAACAGACTGCCACAGTTTGCCCGTTTGGGAGGGGTCTTTGGGCCATTCTCGGTCATTCGTCGAATCGACAAGGCCGTTTTGAGCTCAAATGGAAGATGCTTCAAACAGCATGAACTATATAGTCATGATATGGTCAGATAGTCTGAGCTGCAAGAGGGTTGAAATCCCAAGGCTTGCACAGTCAACGCGCAAGGAAGGGACTCAGGATGTCCCGTAACGACGAGCCTTTCGGAGGGTTGACTGTCAGGGGTGTCCGTCGAATAACCTCAGACCAAGGCATTTGCCAAAGGACCGAGCTCTACAATTGGCTCCAGATGGAGTTTGGTGGTGGCTGGCATAGATGTTGGTTTCATAACTGGTTTCATATATTTTCTCGCGGAACGCTGTTGATCGATTGCGATGCAAAAAGGAGGGTGACTGGCATGTTTATTGATGATGCAAAAGCCTTGATGTGATTGCCAGTGTTTTCATCTTGTGAATGATGGACCAGTTTGTTCCGGCATCGCTTGACCCAAAGATGTTTTGTTCACGGCCTCGCGGAACGGCCAGTGGCCCCAGGAATGGCGTTGTTCGGTTTTCAATGGCCGATTGTCCGGTCTGACTCGAAGCCGAAACCGTGGACACGGGGGAAAAACCAATCAGCAGATGTTTGTCCAGACATTGGTGGACTCCGTTAGCAGCATATAAAGGGCACCAAAAATAGATATTCTGAGACTGGTACGATCCGCCCCAACTCCTTGAGTCAGGAGACTCAAGAAAAGTGAACAAAGAAGGGTGGATACGCAAAGGAGGGCTCACCTTAGAGAGTTCATGGGACCGATCACTTTGTGTGCTAACTGACCGATCACTTGGTTTCATCAAGATGGGAGCCCCGTTGGCGTTGGCCGTCTTTTCTGGCTCAAACCAGAGTGTGCGAACAGTCGAACAATGTGGAACAGAGTATATGACAGCGAGTCTTTGTGTGGTAAAGTCTACGCTTGGCCATCACAAACAATGACTGAAGACTCTTGACTCTCACAAACAGCTTGGTGAAGAGTTGTTGTAAAGACTCCTTTTGGATTGGCCCAAAAAGCCGGACAATCCGAAAGGATCGGCTCGAAATGAAGATTGCTACTTGTCGCTAGTAGTAGTGCACTTGTTACTAGGAGAGAGGAGAGTAGCAGCTACTAGTATTGCCCTTTGCTACTAGTAGCTTCTTGTTCCTAGTAGTCATGTACTTGTTACATCTTGTTACTAGTAGCTTCTTGTTTAAACACGACTCAGCCGGGGCTCGCTGGATAGGGCAATGGACCGTGGCATGGTGACCATCTTTGTCTCTTTCTGCAGGTTCAGAACTCAAACACTTGGCAAACCCAACAGTGACCCCTTTAGAAGCAATGCTTGGTAAGTCTTGGTAGAGTTTAGTCACTTGGTCACGACCCAATCAAGAAAGAAGCTGAACTGAACTTGCCGCTGGCTCCTGTACGCGCACCTTTTCTACAATGATCGGCCCCAGCTTGCCGTTTGGGTAGCTCAGGTGGTCGAGAGGAGGTGAGCGATGTGATGTGTGTGAGTGATCGTGTGTGACTGTTTGATCCAAACACCACTGGACCGGTGTTTTGTCGATGTTCTCTTCCTATGGGCAGGGCTCAATGTATATCCATACCCGAACGGACATGCATCATGCTGAGAAGGGACCCTTGGGATGCCTGGGACGGCGCCTTAAGGAAGGTGTGTAATGGGTGTTGTAACTTAACCCGGATGAAAGAAAGAAAGGAAGGAAAGAGACAACGAAGGGGAAAGAACGTACACTACATCTTGATGACCATCAGCCACTAGTGTGGGAGCAGTCCAGTAGATGGCTTTGTACACCACTTGGGCACTGCAATGTGTTGCCCATATGCAAAGATACGCTCCATCTCTAGTTGCAGATGACAAATGGCTTCAGACGGCCAAAGTGACCCAAGAAATGCTGGAAGACCAAGCTACTCCTCCAGCGGAAGAGATTTCACTGGGAACGCTACCCATTAGAGCTATGGACAAGGTTCAGGGAGTACCAGCAAAACAGGGTGAGGGCAGCACAAGTTGCTTGCTTTACATGAAGATGATAGCTGCACAAGCCGAATTTACCCATGGATTGAAAGAAGCTATACCCTCGCTAGCAACCTGTACATGCAGGGGCCCCTCAGTTTTGCCGTTTGCTGATGCTGAAACAGAGGTGTTTGGTCGATGTGGCCAAAGAAATCACGAAAGGACGATATTGACCTTCTGAATTTGCCCCTGGGACTGCGGGTCGAGTTTTGGTGCTCTCCGCGGACCTTTTGTGCTTCAGGGGCGCGCATGTTCATGTAGATGATCCCAAAGATGTGGTCAGGAAAGTCACACAGAGCAGACCGCAACATCTGAGTCCACTGCCACGTCCAAATCATGACAGCTAACTGACCAGCCGCCTTCTTTGATCTTCTCAGTGATCCGAGAAGAACCAAGTTGTGGAACTTCTCAAGTTGTCGTGCCCCATTGGCCTGCTGCCTCGGCCTGGTTGCACATGAAAGCACCATTCTCGTTCGCCTCATGGAAGAGTTGCAAAACGTGTAAGGTCAGAACCGGACCATCCACCAATTCACAGCATAGGACAGACAGAACCCTGCCAACACTGCCCTTTAAAAAGAAGAACGGACAACTCCACGGCTTTCCACCGACTTGTCGCCGCCGCGATGCTTGACGCGTCGACCAGTCTGGACGACGGCGATGAGACGCCGCGCGCGTCCGCAGCGGCTGCGGCGCGCCCAGAGGCGTCAGACGTGGCTGGGCGACCTGTGGGCAGTGGCGGTGGGCAGTCAACAACCTTTATTCATAATAGGTTGGAGGGTCGTGCTTGCAAATGTTATCATTACAATGATTCAATTGTTAAATATATTGTCTTTGGGCTTTTGCTACTAATGTTGGATCTTAATTAGCAAAAACACCCCCCCTATAGCAAACAATCCAGGGGGTCTGAAGAGTATCCAGGGGGTTGTAGTCCCGGCGACGACGACGAGACGACGAGGACGCCGCCGCCGCCGCCGGAGTAGTAGTAGTAGTAGTAGTAGTAGTAGTAGTAGCAGTAGTAGTAGTAGTAGTTGTTGTAGTTGTAGTTGTAGTTGTAGTAGTAGTATAGTGGTATAATAGTAGTAGTATAGTAGTAGTATTGTAGTAGTATTGTAGTAGTATTGTAGTAGTATTGTAGTAGTATTGTAGTAGTATTGTAGTAGTATTAGTAGTAGTAGTAGTAGTAGTAGTAGTAGTAGTAATAGTAGTAGTAGGAGTAGGAGTAGGAGTAGGAGTAGTAGTAGTATAGTAGTAGTAGTCGTCGTCGTCGTAGTAGTAGTAGTAGAAGAGATACCTGCGGTTGTTTCTTCACACGACCGTATATTTTTAAAACGACCATTTCAAATGGTCTTTTCTTAAATGACCGTATTTTTGTCAATTATGATGATGTTCAAATATTACATCATGCACAATGCATATCAAGCAGTTGATTTGTGACACCGTATACGACCGTATATTTCTGGACACGACCGTATATTTTTCGAACCACGACCGTATTTTGTTGAAACGACCGTATATTCTTTGAACCACGACCGTATACAGGCCGTATGCAAACCGTAAAAAAAACGTATACGACCAATTTTTTGACTGCAAGATAAAACGACCGTATTTTTTTGAAACGGCCAAAAAAATTGGTTGTTTTCAAAATGACCAAAAAAAGTGGTCGTTTCGGGTTGCAGGTAAGTAATGATTTCAAAGGGCAGCAATAAATAGGAGAACAATAATATTGTTTGAATTTAATTCCCTTAGGATACTTAGGGCTCCAACTTTGCTTCTTGATCCCACCCCCCTAAACAATTGATATTATTCACTTCCCCTGTGCTGGTGTACTACCCCCTTGAAAAATTGTTTGGAGCAATGAAATCATTGAGTTTTAATAAACGTTTGAAAACGATTTCCAGGTCAGAATTCCATGAATCGAGCAAACCTCAGAAGAGTTAAGTAGGGATTTCAAAGGGCAGCAATAGCAGAACAATAGTAAATTAATATATGTTTTTCCTACTTAGGGCTCCAAGTTTGCTTATTAATCCCACCCCCTAAACAATTGATATTATATTCACTTCCCCTGGGCTGGTGTACTACTCCCTTGAAAAATTGTTTGGAGCAATGAAATCGTTGAGTTTTAATAAACGTTTTTGAAAACGATTTCCAGGTC